AAAAAAACCCAAAACCTAGTTAAACCCAATTCATTAGTTAAAATTTGGGCCAATTTTAGATATTTTTTCTCAATTATAGATTTTTTCTGCCTTAGCCTAAACACAACACTCATAAAGCTAAATTAATCCGAACCACCATTTGTGCCTTTCTTTCTCTCTCCCATAAGTCTCTAATTCTGATTCAGAAGAAATAAAGAAGACCTTTTGCATTTGAATATTCATGGCTTCTCATCTCTTATCCTTTGACATCCCCTTCAAGAAGTTACCGCCATCTCCTTTCTCCAAACCCCAATTATTTTCCTCAACATACAGTACCCTGATCAACATCAAGACCAACAAGAACCTCCTCCTGCCGACTCACACAAGATGCTCCACTGTTTCGAGTTTAAGTACTCCTGAGATTACCGATCCCCAGCCGGTTTTTCAAGGAGATGAGAGGCCTCTTTGCGAAATATGGAAGGAAATTCAAGGCTGCAATGACTGGGAAGGCTTACTGGATCCCATGAATTCTCATCTCCGCAAAGAAATCATCCGCTACGGGGAATTCACGCAGGCTTGCTATGATTCATTCGACTTCGATCCTCACTCTAAGTACTGCGGCACCTGCAAGTACCAGGGAGCACATTTCTTTGAGAAGCTGGACATGGCGGACAGGGGATACAAAATAAGCAGGTACCTACTTCTTTTTATACACGAAGAAGTTAGAGCTTAGCTATTGTAAAGGCTTTAATCTTGACTTCATCCTGTTTAAGCAGATACCTATACGCAACATCGAATATCAATCTCCCGAATTTCTTCCAGAAATCCAGGATGAGCAAAGTATGGAGCACCCATGCAAACTGGATCGGATACATAGCGGTCTGCACGGACGAGGAGGAGATCAAACGGTTGGGACGGCGGGATATAGTTGTTGCGTGGAGAGGCACCGTGACATATCTTGAATGGATTACAGACCTCAAAGACATCCTTCACTCTGCTAATTTCGGAGGTGACCCTGCTGTCAAAATCCAGCTGGGGTTTTATGACTTGTACACCAAGAAAGAAAACTCCTGTAAATACTGTGTATTCTCGGCTCGGGAACAGGTATTGGCGGAAATCAAACGGTTGCTTGAGTACTACGATGGAGAAGAAATCAGCATTACTTTTACAGGGCACAGTCTGGGGGCTGCGCTGGCGACGCTTACTGCGTATGATATTGCGGAATTGGGGCTTAATTTGGTCGACGACGGGGCGAAAATTCCGATCACCGTCTACTCTTTTTCCGGTCCTCGAGTCGGTAATTTGAAATTCAAGGAACGGTGCGAGGAGCTGCAGGTTAAGGTGCTGAGAGTAATCAATGTGCACGATAAGGTGCCGACGGTGCCGGGAATCATCGCCAATGAAAAGGTCCAATTTCAGAAGTACATCGAGGATACAATCTCTTTCCCCTGGAGCTACGCCCACGTCGGTGTTGAATTGGCGCTGGATCATACCCATAGTCCGTTTCTGAAGCCGACAAAGGATCTTGCGTGCGCACACAATTTGGAGGCGCATTTGCACTTGGTGGATGGGTACCACGGCAGAGGACGCAAGTTCTGCTTGGCGACGAAGAGGGACATTGCACTGGTTAATAAGAATTGTGATTTCCTGACGAGAGAGTATGGTGTGCCGCCGAATTGGCGGCAGGATGAGAATAAAGGGATGGTGAGGAACGGTGATGGGCGTTGGATTGTGCCGGAGAGGCCAAGAGTGGACTTATATCCACCGGATACGGCATTCCACCTAGAGCAAGCATTGAGGAGGATCACCGACACTTCCAGCCAGGAACTTGAAGCAAATTAATGGTTTTGATGGAACATATTAACAAAGCGAACTTCAGAACATTAATCTGGGTGTGTTCCAAACTT